CAAGACATCAACACCAGTTTAGTTTAAACGTATGGACAGGAATAATTGATAAATTTTTAATTGGACCTTTTTTTCTTGATGAGAAACTAATAGGCAAAAAGTACGTTGATTTTTTGAGCACGCGTTTACACGAAATATTAGAGGAAATTCCAGTCGATATTCGATTATTCGTATGCGGTTTATGCATGATGGAACTCCGCCGCATTTTAGCCGAGTGTGTAGGCAATTTTTAAATCAACAATTTGCAAATAAATGGATTGGTCGTGGAGGTCCTATTGCATGGCCTGCTCGTTCTCCAGATTTGAATCCATTAGATTTTCATTTGTGGGGACATTTAAAATCTATCGTATACGCAACATCGATTGAACATGCTGAAATACTACGAAATAGAATAGAGCAAGGCTTCCGACAAATTTTAGAAACACCAGGAATGATAGAGAGAGTAACCAGATGAATGACAAGTGCGTGCAGGCTTGTCTTCAAATGCAACGTGGTCATTTCGAGCATCTTTTGTAAAAGTAATTAAAACAAAAAATTCATTATATCTCGTAAACGAAGACAGATAGGACATATATTCATATGACTTTTTTTCATTATTTTTAGGCGTACAATCAGCTCTCGAAGTGGGTCCCACAAGTTACGAAACATATACAGGGGTTTAACAGCTAAACTTTTGTCAATGTACTCCACGTTGGTCGTGTTAAGCATCTCTGTAAACAGGAATCTTCAAAATGTTAAAACGTGCACTGTATTATTTTTTTCTGTTTCTTTTAAAGATATTCTTCAATATAAAGCTGTTATGTTAAATGTTAAAACGTGCACTGTATTATTTTTTTCTTTTTCTTTTTAAGATATTCTTCAATACGAAGCTGTTATGTTAAATGTTAAAACGTGCACTGTATTATTTTTTTCTTTCTCTTTTTAAGATATTCTTCAATATAAAGCTGATTGTGAGTTACGTGGTAAATTCGTTAATTCTGATTGTAAGACTCGATGCGTGGAATCATGTTCGCGTACATTCTCTGGCAACAATTTTTCTATATATTTTACAATCGCAGCAAGAACGACCTAAATAGAAATGTCATCGAGTTAGTCGTTATATCTGTTAAAGAGAAATAGTTCAAACAGGCAAATAATCATCGTTATCAATGTATGTATGTATAATACGTTAGTGTTCGTGCGAACTATCTACGAAAGCTCACACAAGAGAAATCGTAGACGTGTGGTTAATTGCAATTCTAAACCCTTTTGCGTCACATCATACGTAGTACCTCGATCGATATTGCCGTTCCGAAAATTTTTTCAACGAAGCCGGTAGACGTAGATTTTGTAGATTAGTGGATTATACCTCAGTATTGCTGAAGGCTTCCGGCCTGGTGCGTGCTATTTTCGCTATTTGGGGCCCCGAGAACCTTTCGTACGCCCGTGATCCCGTCATCTCCGCCAATTTCTGCAACCACGATCGTACGAAGATAATTGATTAGCGTATATAATCGATGGCGTTAATTAATTATGAATCAGTCCGATCATTCTCGCCATCTCAACACTCTGTGCAGCATTGTAACTCACGCGTTATATGATACGTTGACAAGTAATTAACACGTCTGTAACACCTTCAAATTGTTACAAATAATAAATTGCGTACACGGTGTATCGCGATAGCGTTCAAACATTTGTCAAAAATTTTTTGCGAATGCAGTTAATCTTTATTGATATTCGGATAGATCCGTACATTCGTAACACAATATATTATTACTTTATTTTCTGCGTGTTGCCGTGCAAATTTTTCCCTTCTATTTTTAGCCTCTCGCGTAAAAGTCTCGAAAACGAAATCTCCTTATTTATTTAATAAATAAAATCACTATTTTTGCGGACCAACATTCTTCCTGCTTTCGATCGGAAGGTTTTCTGAACGCGTGCCATTCCTCGAGAATCTTCGAATCGTGAATCTCCCATGAATATTCATCCGCGTCAAAGAATTGATTCGCAATTTGCATACTTCATAGGTCCCGCTGATACGCGATCGTATCTGTCCAAGATATATTTCTCTTTCTCTTTGCCGACCTTCTCCTCGATGTTTGTTGACGAAATCGACAAAAAAAAAAAAAAGAAACAAAAAGAGACTTTGGTACCGTTCCTTCTCCCTTCTGGATATTTTTAAATCGATTAAAAAGTCGACCTTCGCGACGATTAATTAAATATTTTATCGATTTTTATTGACCATCGTCGCGGTGTCGCAAACGGAATCGAAATCGGCGCGAAATCGTTTGCAATCGCTGCAATGAATAATTGTTCAAATACTAAAATTTCTATGTCACGCGATTCATTCTCAGAAACTTGTTTCAAGTTTTGTCAACGTATAATCGCGACGCATAGTCGCGTAAACAGAACAACGATAACGAAGTGTCCAACGTCTCGTTTAAACAGCGCCCCTTAATCTAAACAGTGTCTGTTTTTAAAATTAACGAAGGGAATTTCAAAGTAGCGAATAACGCTGCCGTGTTATTTATGAAAGAAAGAAAGAAGAAAAGGAAACGCATACTTGGGGGCCACCCACGATCTCTTCCAACATGCGACACTCCTTGGTGGTGCTGGAATCCATCCACACAGGTGACGGCGTCACCGAGAAAGAGGTGACCAGCTGTTCGTGCAAGAATTTCGCAGGGTCCAATCGCTGCAACTGATTTCTACTGCCCTTGCCCCAATAAACCGTGCCATGTTGCTATGTAATAATGAGCGAAGATAACATTATCTGCGTGTTTTTAAAAGCTGTTTGTAAAAACGTTCGTGTTCGTAAGGGTCGCGCGGCGTTGCGAAATTTTTTTTTTTTTCTTTTGCTTTTTTCACGCATCGTCTCCCCCGGCGCAAGAGATTCATTTATTTTGCGAGGCAAAGTAGAATTCGACAGCACCTCGACGCTCGATTTTTCTTTCGATTCAAGTTGTGTCGTAAAGTGAAAAAAAAAAAAAAAAATTACTCGAGGAATATTCTTTTCAAACGAAAGACCGCTTTGGAATACCTTCTGGAGCTAAATAAATATGCTGTATCGTCAAAGCAATAATTTTCCAAACACCGAGATTCACAGGAAAGATTTGTTTGCGTCGAAGGATGAACCAAAAAAAAAAAAGAAAAGAAAGAAAAGGAACAAGCAGGATATCTCGTCATATCTTGATCTTATGTTAATCGACTGTTCTCTCTTGTAGCTAAATCGGTAAACGCTGTCGCGTTTAAATTAAGTAAAAACAACAGATTTATCCGTCGTTTAAGCTTTTAAGTGATAATGAGAAAATAATATGAATATTGCGCAGATGTTTCCTTTTTTTTTTCTTAGTCCTCGAAATGTATGGTTTTGGTAATGTTACACAACGTTTTGTAACGTAGCTTAATCGACGTGGAAGATAATCGAAAAGACAGATTTACTGCAAATATTGTAATATATGAATGGCGACACTTGTATTTCAACGTTCTCATGTTTATACAATGTTTTTCTGCTTTTACCTGTGCGCATCCGGAAATAGCGGCCACCTTGCTGAAATCGACGCCGCAGACGCGCAATTTATCGAGAATCATGTCCAGAGCCTTAACCCACATCAAAGTGGGAGCCACCACTACGTGCGGCTCGTCCTTTTTGTGAATCACGCCCCCGTACGTTCTAAAAATTGTTTTAAAAATTTATTTTCGCACGAGATGTCCAACGCTGACGAACGTAAAAATATATTCAGCGTAGGAAGAAGAAGAAGAAGAAAAGAAAAAAACCATATTAAATTTCATCTTTTGCTTTGTTATTTCGAATTCGGATATTTGGCGCCAAAGTCTATAGCGCAGAGATTTTTTTTTTTTTCAAATAACGCGTCGTGTGTTGTACTGATTTTGATACGATTTCAAAGATAGCCTTTTTTTACGCGCCAGATTAGATAAAGACTTCGATTAATTTACGTACATTCTGCAAATTTTTACGTCTCATTAGCTTTTGTTGATTAAACGTGCTTACCTAAATTCAGGCAGGTCATTGTCGAATTGTACACTGGTTTCGTGGAGAACGGCAAGATCGTTATCGACGACAACTGCTTTCAACTATAAATATCAAAGGATACTTGTTAACTTTGCCTTTTAAATTCGTAATAGCATGTTATTTTTCGATTTTTTTTTTTTTTTTTTGCCCCTTGGCCATCGAATAAACTACGTACAACAAGGCTGCCATGTGACACGGCACGATCAATTAGTTACGCTACTCCGCAACGTAATTCGAAAATTTAAAAATCAAAATTATCTGCAATTTTTTTTTTTTTTCTTGTGTCTGCCGTACGAATGTGTGTAAATACAAACGTTTGATATACTGCTGGTCGTGTTTAATAAAATAAAAAGCCAGATATATCACCACTCATTACAGTTTCGGGTGGAATTAAGTGAACGAAGAAGTGCCATTATTAAACAGAATCGTGAAATAAAGCGCTCATTTCGATGAACTGTGATGCAACGTACACATTATTGAAAAGAATATTTTATTACTTCTGCATGAATCGTGTAATAACAATATAAACCTAGAGCATGTTATTGCAACACGTGGGTTACAAATAAATTTGAATTCAAAACAAATTGACAATGTATATGCACATTCTAGAATTAATTTTAATACTTGAAATTTTTGAAGTTTGATGTAGAAAAGGAAATAAACATTCAAGCCTTCGATATATACTGTATTGTAACAAGTTATTAAATAACTAAAATGATAATGTTACGTGATAATGTTCCACTCGAAAAGAATTCAGTCTTAAAAGAATTAAGAATTGTATAATTATTTTCTATCATAACTAAAATGGGAATTAAACCTGTAACAACTTGATTAAAAAAAAAAAAAAAAACAGTATAATGCATCACATGGTGAGAGGAATTAAATAAAATATTCTCATAAGTATTAAAACATCTGCCGACAATTAGTACAAATTCAATGTTTCTTACTGTTTCTAATTTCTATTACTTCGTTCGAGCCAAAATTTACTCAGTCTTTTCAATAAATGTAACGAGCAGTTGTTTTCATACTTGTGAGCGATAGTTTTATATAACGGAAATTATTACGCAAAACCCGTAGATATTAATGAATGAATATGGTATTTAATCTGACACAGTTAGCGAGCAGATAAAAAATCGTATCTGATAGTTGGTTTATGATTCTCTCCTTTCCTCATTTTTGAAGGATGATTGATATTGCACCAAACTGAGTTAGTGAGTTAAATAGATAAAACTTGTGTTCTGCACGGATCGATTATGTTACGACACGATCGTTTACAATTACCTAATACATTTTTGATTAAAAAGACGAGCAAGAAGCATTTTGATATTTCAATTATCATTTCGATCGTTTTTCTAATGTTTTCGTTGAGATACGCTTTTCTTGCTCGTGTTATCCTACTGCTTAATGTTATCATTACGTTAGATAATTGTGACCCATCTGACGCACGTCACGCAAGCTGCAAAACACTTGTATTAATTAATAACGATGAATTTTCGTACGAATTTGTTGTACTGAATTTGTATCATTTGTCCAAAGCAAACTGTAATGAGTTTATCTTCACACGTTAAATAATTATTGATTTAATCAGAATAATTATCTCGTGAATAGAAAATTAATAAACGCGTTAAATTATTATTAACTCAATCAAAATAATTTACTTCATCGTGATAGAAAATTGAATCGTAATATTTAGCTTCTTAAGATGAAATTAATTTGTTAATCGAATTTATTAATATTCACGAGAAACAAGTTTTAATATTGTTAAATTTCATCAAGAACAATTATAATGATCGAATATAAACAAAAAACTCGAGAGTACGACAGAAATAATGTAAAATATACGAAAGCAAATATTTAAATTGGTCGTTGTAAAATTAGAATTCTAATGGTTTGTAATGTCGCTTTCAAAATACTCTAGAAAATAGATTTTTAACATTACTAAAGGAAAACTATATTTATTATTTGGCTCGATCTCTGTTGAGTTTTTTTAATTACATTTGCAGTCTTTAAAAACCGTTGCACAATTACAATTAACCGGTTAATCATTTTTTGTCAATAACAAGCAATTACAAGCAATCGAGTAACTTTTGTCAATTTGAACGATTCGCGCGTTGTCGCGAGACGCGTGCGCAATAGATGATGCGCAGTGGAAGCTGAGTAACACCGAGCATCGTAGAGACCACAAACAAAAACAGACCACTCTTCGATGCAACAAATGTCGAATTAACCGCGATTTGTTCATTACTGTGGCAACTGCTTTCACGCAGTGTGTAAAGTTACGAAATGCGGGAGTAGAGGAAACGAGAGAAAACGACGACGAAGAACGATGCACTGACAGAGTTGTCATTCGTGTTGAACAATCGAGCAGGTTTACATAATCAGAAAACGTGTGATGATCATTTGTTCGATTTATAATAGAAAAGAAAAAAGAAAGAACATGAGATCATGCAGTTTTTTTAAGGGTTTACCTGCTGCGTGCTGAGATCGAGCCCTAAGTATGTCGCGTTCGAAACAGCGCCCATATTTCAATCGTAGGCTGAATCGTAGACGCGATGCGATGAAATCGTGGAAGTGCCGCGTCGTATCGAAGATCCCTGATGGTTTGCAATATCAATACACTCCGATACGTGTCCGTACGCTTGTCGTTCACCTCGGGTAACTAACGTTCGAACGATCTACTCTCGTTCGTGGTCTACTCTCGTTCTCGGCAATAGCCGAGGCATCGTTACGCGCTGTTTCGCGTCACGAAGCGACTAACTGCGACTAATCTTATCGTTATTATAAATAATATAATGCCGACCGTTACGTAAGGCAGATTATTACACGACAAGTTTGATCGAGTTAGCCTTACTTGGTCTTTTGCAAACATTTCCATGACATTTTCGTCGCGCGGCCGAGTCGTCACGAAAAGAGGTTAAGTTCCAGTCGATACTGATTTCCTCTCTCTAGGGAGCACTGAATTTCTTTACCGGCCGATCTATCGCGTAGGTGTCGACGATAAGCGTGCACCTGTGCTGCACACCTGCTGAGAGTTTCTCACAGGATAATCGAACAACATTTCGGCCATTGTTGAAATTCAAATGCAAATCGCGGAGCGCAAATTAACGCGATCTAGTATCTTTTCGCAAAACATCTGCCCTGCTGATGCGCGTCTCGTTCCACGAACTGTGCTTAGAATACGAGAACGAAATGAGAACATATTTCGGTAAGAATTTGTAATTATGTTTAACCTCGCGTTTCAAATCTCAAAGCAGAGTTGCAAGTGTGATTGCAGACTGTGTTGCGTGCAAGTAGCTCGCTTTAAAGTTACAGCAAAAAGGTATTTTGATACTTTTTTTTTCCGAGCTCGAAATAAAAGTAAAAAAAAAAGTAAAAAGTAAAAAATTCTCTACATTAATAGGATCCGCGATACTGGTTTTTAAACCGGTTTGACTTGTAACCGCGCAAACTGCATAGACGCGTCTACGACATTCTGCGCAGGAGGGGAGGAAAAAAAATAACAAAACCATTTAATGCGCGCGCTCAAATTATACGTCTGTTTCAAAAATCCAACGTGCCAATAAAGTAACATTTCCCATTAACGCGCAATGTTGATGGACATTCCAAGTGTTTCAAACTCTTCGATATTCTTTAACTTTAGTTTAAGCGCGTTTATTTCAAGTAAACAAAAAAAAAAAAAAAGAAACGAAAAATTTTCGAAAAAAGAACAGTTTTCAGTCAAACATTGAAAAATATGAAACTCATCAGCCACGGCGACAACTCAACGATCGGGGAGGAATTATAATATCGTAGGATATTCTTCGGTTCGGCGTAGTCCGAGAGTCGAGTCGACGGAGGCCGAAAGTAGCGTAAAAATAAAACGTCGAACGACGCGCGGCAGGGCCCGTGAACCATTATGTGTAGCAGTACCTACAGCATCAAGTCTGTCCGAAAAACAATTATCAAGAGGGCAGGCCAGGAGTACCATAATAATTTGCGAGGAGCGTCGTCGTTGGTGCGATGCATGGCGTCGTCGTTTTCTCCGAAAGACGAGAAAACGAGAAGCCCGAAGGCGAGAGCGTGCAACGATGCCGCCCGGATACTGGGTGGTAAGTCCATGGTGCATCGCGGTGCAATCAGTTGTAGCAACAACCTCCGTGACTATGCGCCGGCGGTGGTGGTGGTGGTGGTGGTGGTGTGGTGCATCGGTAATCCGGTAGAGGGGCGAAAGTATGACGAGAGAGGAGCAACGAGGAGGAGGTTGGGAGGAGATTGTTAAGTTATGTTGGTCGATGTACGGGTTTGTTTGCGTAGTTGGTGACGGTGTAGGAGCGCGCGCGGCAGAAACGACGAATGAAAAGAGAAGAGGAAGAAGCAGAAAACGAAGAAGAAGAAGAAGAAGAAGAAGAAGAAGAAGAATAAAGAGAAGGAGGCAAAGTTGCAACCAGGGTGCCAGGGGGTCTGGCCCAAGCCTGTTTGTCGGTCCCGTTGCCTTATAATCGTGGTATACGGATAATGGTTTGGGTTAAGGGACGCCCAACGATGGTCCATGCGAGAGGGGAGCACGAGGAAGGAGATCAGAGGGAAGGACACGTATAGAGGAGCCGGCAGCAGCGGCGTCGAGACAGGGCAGTTTTCGAAGAGAGGAACAAGTCGACGTGCTACGAGCAATCGAGCGAAACTTTCGCTGGCTCTGCTTGCCCGTCGTTTGGCAGGGCTTTTCTTTCGATCGTTCCCTCTGCCCCCGGTGGAACGATGATTTCTGACCCTACGGCACGAGCCTCGGGAATGTAATTACCGAGAAAGCCCCGCTGGAGAACTGTTCCGCTGACGGTGAACGCGCGGGCCACACGCTTGAAGAATGGTCGTTGAAAAATGTAGTATTATGCTGGCTGCACTTTTGAAAATTAATTGACTGAAATTAATTGATTGAACCGTGTTATAAATAACGCGACTAAGACGACCCGAAGTCGTTGCAGAAACGCAGTTTTGCAAAGGATATCGTCAAACTTTCCAGAAAGTTATTTTTCGTCTGGAATTTGGCGTGTTTAGCGGATGGTTAAGAGTTTGATGCAGGATACCAGGCACGGTTATTACCTAGAGGGCAGGTTTAACGAGGAAAGGATTGATGGATTCTGTAGAAAAATTCTACCGAAGTTCTTGGAATTTTGCGACAGCTGCGGAATAGCATTCCACGATCATAATAAAATGATTATATTTCGTTTTATTTATATCCACTTGTCGTGGAAGAGAATGCAAATGCCAATTTATTTACATTCGATACGTTCAATTAGCCACAGTCGTCGTTTGTATTTGATGTTTAGACATTTATGCGCAATTACGTCGGAAGCAAAACAATAAATAATTCAACGATTTAATCAATATTAAGGAAGAGTTTATTGCTACTTATCCGTATTATTGGATATAAATGCACGAAGCACTTTTCTTTTTTTTTTTTCCATTGACTTTATCAATTTTTATAGACGTAGAGGAATTCATTTAGATTCTTGCTTTTAAATTGAAATTGCGTTGCGACGTTTTTACGCGCGACTCGAGGAGATCAGGTTGTCGAATCAACAATTTTTCTACCGTCAGATTTCGGACGCAGCACGTAACGATTCAGGTAACTGGTCCGAGCGGGACTAACAGTGAGTTGAATGCGTGTTTAACGCGTGTGGCATGCGAAAGAACGCGTCAGAAACCCGGTGCCGCGTTCTTCGTGTTGGCTAAAATTCGATATTTTCCTTCATTCACAACCACTCGTGCGTAGAGGTTGGTGATCTGGAGAAATTTTCTTTTTTTTTTTTTTTTTGGGGGAGGAGGGTTTCATTATCTAAACACGTCGTGTCGTCGGATATATCGACAGGGATAGGCGGGCTGGGGAAAAAAGGGGTTGGAGCGACAGGGGTGGTGCAGAAGCGGCGGATGGCGTCGGCGACAGCCGGCAGAGCCACGTCGTCGCCGTCGATCGGACGACGGCGAAACGACGGCCGGCTCTCTCCCGTGCAGACGGACGAAACAGTGGAGTGAGAGACGGAAAGGGAGAAAGAGACAGCCGGGCGCCGATTCCAGCGACCGGCCGGCGCTAACCTCGACGCCAACGGTGGAACGTCGCCGACGTCGCCGACACCGTCGCCGCCACTGCTCGACCCGCGACACCACGACGAAGACGACCACGACCACGACGACCATGTCGACGACGACGACCACGACGACGTCGACAAATGCAAGAATACTTCTTCTGTTGGCATCGTGGCATCGTCACGATTGGGGGTGGGAAACGTTGCTCATCGGTCGCCAAGCTGCACGAACGTCCTATCCAACCCCTACTACTCCTTTTCCCATCCAGCCCTTTGGCGTTCGTGTGTCTTTTACACACACACAGAGCTTTGGTATTGTCCAACTGAATTTTCCGATGTTCCCGGGACACGTCAATAACGTGATGTTTTGTTCAGGAATAATTATGAATAGGGGTCTTGTAAGGCGGCGAACGGTGCCAGCCAGTCTTTACTATCCTTTGGAAAAACCAAACAAACCCCCTCCCTTCCGATTCGTAGAATCGATCGTAAAAATGGGGGAGGGGGGAGGGGGGGGGAGAAATGGCGTTTGGTTTTACGGTTCTTACCGAATTCATGTAATATCGATCAGAGCTGTAAGGGAAACGGTTTTGAAAACCTGTTTACCCTACCAAAACTTTTCCTCGTTGGAATCTTCTCGTATCACCGCGGGTCACGAGGATAATCGGAAATAGATGAACGATTGAAATTAAGGTCACCGTCTGTCTGCACGCGCGTGACACAGGTCATTAGCTTTTTTTGCAAAGAGACGCAACAGCGCGTTTACGATTCGCACCCAGAGTGATCGTTGTGGTCAAATTTAGGTGTTGAAACAAGAAAATTTCATAGCAGAGGAATTCTTCTCTGTTTAAAAATTCCAACCCGGTAAGTTTAAAAAAATAAAATCCACGCGAGAGTTCATTCGATATATTCAACATATATATATGTTGAAACAAGAAAATTTCATAGCAGAGGAATTCTTCTCTGTTTAAAAATTTCAACCCAGTAAGTTTAAAAAAATAAAATCCACGCGACAGTTCATTCGATATATTCATCATATATATGTATATATATATATATATATATATATGTTGAAACAAGAAAATTTCATAGCAGAGGAATTCTTCTCTGTTTAAAAATTCCAATCCGGTAAGTTTAAAAAAATAAAATCCACGTGAGAGTTCATTCGATATGTTCATCATATATATATATATGTTGAAACAAGAAAATTTCACAGCAGAGGAGTTCTTCTCTGTTTAAAAATTCCAACCCGGTAAGTTTAAAAAAATAAAATCC